AAAACAGTTACCTTCTAATTATGTAGGGAATGGGAGAGCCATTTCACAACATTGAAAATGTCATAAGAGCGGCAAACATAATGGTGGACGATCAAGGCCTTCACTTCAGTCCCCGAAAGGTCACGGTCTCTACAAGTGGCTTAGTTCCCCAGCTGAAGCGGTTTCTCCGTGAATCAACCTGTGCATTGGCTGTCAGCCTCAACGCAACAACTGATGAGGTTTTCTTTTCACATGTCTGTCTTTCCGACAGAATTTGAGGATGTATATACTGAGTTCCTAGGATATGATCTCCTTTACAGGTGAGAAACTGGATCATGCCCATCAACAGGAAGTACAAGTTAGCAGTGCTCCTCGAAACACTCAGAGAAGAGCTTCGTTCCAAGAATAATTACAAAGTCCTGTTCGAATACGTTATGCTTGCGGGAGTTAACGACAGGTATCAGAAACTACTACTACTAGACCGTTTTTAAATCTCTGCATTTTCACTAGGGTTGGGCATAGGTACCTGAATCCACGGGTATTCGAAATTCGGGAATCCGTGTCTTGGCGAGTACGAGTTTGAGTTTGCATCGGCCGATTACCTGAGCTGCGGGTTTAAGTTCAGGTTTCGACGGCCGATTACTTGAATCCATGGGTACTTGAGCCGAGGAAAGAAGGAGAGAGGGTGAGGGGAGTGAGGGCGCATGCTGCGGTGAGATCTGGGGGGGCGAGGGACCGGTGGTCAGAAGATGGTAAAAGGTTGGAGAGATGTCGATTCAAAGGTGAGGCAATGAGGGAAATTAGGGTTTCATAGGTGAGTCTTCAAGAGGTCAACTCTCGAATCTTCAAGAGGCGTTTTCAAATTGCATCTTAAAATTAGGCCTTTTTAAGAAAGAGAGAAAAAGAAAGGGTTTGCCGCTCTTGATGGAGCTACCCTATCTCCGCCCTCGCCTCCAAAGTCTACTGTGATATGATTATAAATTGATTACTCTAAGTCGGGTGGGAGTAGAAAACATTGATATAATGACCGCTACCAATACTCACAGTGAAACAACGAACATTGGTACAGTGAAGGCGCCACGAACGAATGTGGTGATTCTGTTCATAAAGTTGGGAATAAACGTGATAGGGGTCGGAGAGTTTTCAGAAATACTCTTAAAATCAGCTTATTTATGTTTTGAATGGTGTATTTTACCTAAGTTGCCTTATGCATTTCAAAGAAGATATAATCATGTCAAATTATACAGAGTAGTTGAAATTGTGCATTACAGAAAACATAATCATGTAGTTCCGCGATGATTTTTTCTTCCGAGCTCTTGTCATTGATTCTCCGAGAAGTAGATTCCTCTCCATTTAAACTTACATTGCTTATGATATTTGCATCGTGCTCTCTCCTCTTTTGTTCCTTTATAACCGTTCCTTGCCCGTCACGGTGTCATGAGATCTCGGTTCTTCGTCAGCTGGGTACTCAAGCCCTCGCTGCACCCCGCGAGTACTCGAAGATCAGGTACTAGACTCTCACGAGGCCGAGACCTAGTTGCTCCATCGAGGTCGGGTACGCTGGAAACTCAGGCACTCGACTCGTGCCCACCCCTAATTTTTGAAGATTTGTGTTTCCTCTGCTAAAACCGAACCAAAATATATATGTTGATTGGCGTTTTTCTGCATCAAATTCGTTGAAACTGGCATTAACTAGGCTATGTATATGTACATGCGCAGCATGGATGATGCAGAGAGGCTGATAGAGCTCGTGCGGGACATTCCCTGCAAGATCAACCTTATCCAGTTCAACCCGCATAGTGGATCTCAGTTCATTCCGACAGCAGAAGACAAGATCATAAAGTTCAGGAATATATTGGCCCAAGGAGGCTGCACAGTGTTCCTGCGTTTGAGTCGAGGCAACGATCAGATGGCGGCTTGTGGACAACTCGGTATGCTCGGCACGATCCAGGCCCCATTGCTTCGAGTTCCCGAGCAGTTTCGGACAGCTCTTAGAGCATCATCATGCTAGATTTTTTGTGCAGAGGAATCTGAATTCGTCCTTGCATCATGTTGTGACATTAGGAAGTCATTGCAAGAGATGAACTCTCGTGTGTTTGGTTTTGAGACTTGGTTTCGAAGCTTTAACCCAACTTGTTTCAGATCAGCCACCATGTCCATCACTACACTGATTGTTCATTTGATGCATCCCATGTGCAAAAGATTGGCCAGTTTCTTCTTATCTTCACCGTATCTTTTAGTTTATCCTCAACTAATCGTCTTTTTATTTCTTCCTAAATTTGTCATTTAATTTGCACTTTCATTCATATAGATACAGAATGTACATTGAGTATTTAATTAGAATATCGTTAAGATAGACCAAAGTTATTCATTACCTCTAAATCATCCGCTATGTGATATATGAGGATTGACATTAGAACAATTTTTATGCTCTCGTCGTTAAATTTAATGTGTATTAACTTTTGATAAAAAAAAAAACATCAAAAGCCATTGGAATAAGACAAAGTTGCAGAGAAAAAGATTAAGAAGAAAGTTGCAATAGGAAGAGAAAGAACTTTTTTGTTGTATTATCAAAATGAGAAAAATGTTCCTCAAATACAATACAAGAAGAAACCAAATCAAACCACCAATAACCAGAAGATATTCATTCTAATAATGTGAAATACATGACGAAAACGTGACACTCATTTTAAATATAACAACGTTTGGTTGTGATCTTAACGGACAGTATACATATCGTCTAAACCACCGTGATATAATAAACATATCGCCTAAACCATCGTAAGAGCGAGAGTCGTATCGTCAAATGTCAATGTCGAGAATTTCGCCAACAAATACGTGGTGGTGAAGATTCCGGCGAGGAAGAAGGGTATACATCGGCGTAGGGCTGTATCAGATTCCGACGAGGGTTTTCTGAAATCAATTTAAGCTTGCAAAAGGATCCCTTTGTTTTTGTGCAATTTCAAAATTCACCCCAAAATTATATTTTTCATCGATGAGCGTCCATCTTAGGAGCAGAAGCTCATAAAGCATAATATCCTCTGTGATATCATTAACTTCATATGCTTTTCTGCTTTTGTCTTGTTTACATATTGGAACGAAAGCATACTCATGACAGAAATCGTGAGCCGGAGTTATATGACACTAGAAATATATATCTTCAAAAAATAAAAACGAGAAGCTACTCATCATAACTTAAATCTTCAGTTAAAGAGTGATCTCTCATGATGAAGACGAAGGTCTTCGATGCTTCGATCTTTTCCCGATACGCTTGAAGCGCGAAGGATGTAGAAATGCCTTAAAAGGCTGCAACTGCGATGGGTGAACTCTCTTCTTCTTACCCCGAGGTTTACCTGTTCAGACATGGTTAACTATGAACACAGTCTCGATTGTTTATGTTCCAATGAGTATATCAAGGAAACGGTAGATAGTGTTAAGTATACCTGAGGTCAAGGCACTGGTTCTTTCGAGGGATAGAACAGAAATTTGGTGACCATTTCGATCTTCAGTCTCTTCATTCGGCTCGTGTTCCATTGTCACATCTTCGTGATGCCGAACCAAAGGCTCTTCTTCTTCCCTCAACTTTGGAGATTGGTCAGCAGCAATTGGGTCTTGACCAGGATGTTCAACTGGTTCTCTGACCAAATCAGTGATCCCACAAAACATGTTATAAAGACTACTACCAGTTTCACCTATTTCATACTTCTTGTCTTCCATCACCACCTCTTCTGTACGATTATGATTCGGGCAAGAAGAATCATCATCAACTATCAACTTAACATCACCAGCTAATGTGTTGTCTCGAAATCCAGAAAACTGCTTCTTATCATCGTGTCTTCGCAGAGGCATGTCGTGGAAAGCCACACTGGTAGCTCCTTTGTTATCGTCGACATCCATCACCGCATCATCCACAGGAACAAAGCCAGCAGTTAAGATTTTAGCATTGTCTTCTGGGCTCCAGCTAACACTGTTTAGCAATGGTCTATCCTCTGAAGCCGAGGAACTATGTTGGTTAGCATGAGATGCTGCATCATCTAACTCCATGCCGCGTGTTAATGTCTGAAATGCTTCTGCTTGACCTTGCAACATAAGACCTGGTTCCTGATAGGAGCCGTTTGTCTCACTTGTTTCTTGCTCGGCTGCAACTGTCATAGATTCAACCTTATTCTCATCTTGTGATCTTTGGTCAGAAGTATGGCCCAAGGGTCCATCTTCTAGAAGATTACCATCAGGTTCAGTCGGGACAGTCAAAGGTAGTTCAGAAGCTTGATTACTCTGCACTGGCTCATCATTCGCCTTGTCAACGGGTGGATGGGGCCCAAATTTAGTTTTTTTGATAATGTCATTAACCTGAAAACCACGTGATGGCAAGTCATCGAGTACGGAAGTGAAGTCAATCGCCTTTGCGGATTTGGATGAAGCATTATTAGTGGCACCAAAAGCTTTGGCCAGATCATCTAAGGCCATGTCACCATCGCCGCTAGAGAGGGGATCATATCTGAGCCAGTCCCCAGGTAACAGCTGCTCGAGGTTGAATTTTTCATTGGAAGATGCTAGTTCAATTCGTACTGTATCTTTATAGAAAAGTTTTTTCCTTAAAGCATTGCTTATCATATTCCTGAAAGCAATTGAACAAGCAGGTATCAGAGATATAAGAACACTTGCTCAACTACAATTGAACACTCACAGATACAAAGGGTACCTGCAATTTTTCGAAAGGGCAGCTCTGGCCTTTTCAGTAGAGAGCCCAAGCAAGGACATTAGATTCGTTACGTCGTTTGGTCCCCTTAGTTCTGTGACCGAAGGAGCACCGCTTGATATAATCAAATTCTTCCCTCGTGTCCAATCCACCAACAGCTGAAAATATCATATCATAGACAAGGGCATCCAAACGCATCAAACGAGCTGCAAATTTTTTCCTTGAATCACAACCAAGAACACGACATATCCAAGTTGTAGTTTCCAGAGTACAATATGCAGTGATTTAGCCTAAAAGAATCAAACTTTCTCACCTTGGCATTCGATATAACTTGCCTCCTCTTGTGGGCATCCACTAAAAGATCCGAGTATCTGATTTCAAAGTGAATCCCTCTCTGCCCATAAGACAATCTGTTAAGTTGTGGTAAACGAACAACCCTAAATTGGTTCACATGAAAACAGAAAACACCTAAGAAGAGGATATTGAGAGAACATCGAACCTGAACTGCAGCTTTAACCATGTGATGTTTCAACCGGAATGGCATATTGCCCGAGAATTCGATTGAAATTATATCAACCTACAAAGATTTCCGACAGCACAATCGGGGGAAAACAGTTACCTTCTAATTATATTAACCTACAAAGACTACGAACACCAATTAATCCCGTTTAAAAAAAAAATCGAACCTTCGCTTTTTCACAAGCCTGATCAAACGCGCTCTGATTCAAAGGCCTAACAGCAACTATATCGTAACTTTTCAGAATCGGATTGTCGGAGTTCAAAGCCAGACTCTGAGCATTGCTCTCAACGGCGACCGTGAGGCGCGTGTACTGTCGGAACGGAGTGTCTCGCCGGACACCAAGAAGGTCGCGGTGGAAACCGACCGATGAAGTTAACGGCGGAGCGAATTTGAGGAGTGATTCAACAGTGAGAAGCGGGATTGCACAACGGTCCTTCTCCGACATAATACCCTTAATGGAGCGATTATACGCGATCCCAACATATCCCAATTCCATGGCTTTCGTCGCTAGCTTCACGAGAAGGGATTTCCCTTCCCCGGCGTTCTTGCCGTCGTACGGAAGGCTCAAATCAAAGAAACTCATCTTCGGGTCAAGCTTTAAGCTGGGTTTTAGGGTTCAGGGAAGAAGAAGCCTAGAGTGTGCGCCAGAAGAAGAAACGCGTCCTTCGATTAGGGATGGGTTTTACTTGGGCAAATAAGAAGAGTATTACAAGTTTGGAAGTGAAACACCATTCAAATTTCAAACACCTAAAATTTTAGAAAACCATATATAAGTAAACAATGTTGCAAAATATATCGGATAAATATCTAAAATTTTAATTTGATATAATTAATAATTTAAATATTAAAATATATTAAATAAATATTCAATTTATAAATTCAAGGTAATTTTTTTAATTTTAAATATATCAATTGGATAGAATTTTTAATATAAAAAGGAATTGGTATTATAAATATATTTTTATTTTGTAAAATTAAAATATTAATTTAAAATATTTTATAATTTAAATACTAATTTAGAATATTTTAATATTTAAAATATTAGTTAAATTTAATTAAAATTTTAGATATTTATTTTATAAAATTGGATAGATATAAGAGATTTTTCCAAAAACTTATTAAAACAAAAAAATAAAGGGAAAAGGATGAGAAATTAAAATGTTAAAAATAGCGGACCAAAAGGCCCACAAACGGCACAACGTACTAGTAAAAAACCTATACACATACAATTAAAAAAAACGCTTGATTGGATCAATCGAACAAAGGCCCTACGAATATAAAAAAGAATTCTAATGGGCTCAATATTCGATCGTATATGCAATATCAAATTAAACTTCCGACGAACAGCTTTTCACAATCGAGAAAATTTGGCTAGTGTGCAAAAAAAAAAAAGAGATATTTGTAAAATATATTTTGTTTTGCCAATTTTTATATTCTATATTTTTCAAATGTAAAACGACTAATATATCTCTTATGATAGTAAAAAAAAACCCACACTCCACAATCGAAAAGAGAGGGAAATATAAAAAATGGAAAGAAAGAATTACAATAATACAATATATATAAAAATTATAATAAAAAAATATATATATATTGCTCACGACTTATGTCAGGTCGTCCTTCACAACCTGCTACACAGTAGCGGATCTAGAAATTATTGTGAATGGAGGCAAACCTAATGTTACTATATAATAAACATAATTTTATCATGGGGACACATAACAAATTTGTTAAAAATCTTATTAATTTTACAAAGAAATTATCTCTTTTTAATCAAACAAATGAGGGCATATGCCCCCACTCTTAACGACCTAGATCCGTCCATGCTGCCACACTTCGTTCTTCACGACATGCAAGTCGTGCACGTTGTGTTGCATGGCTACCGCAGATTATGCGTTGTTAGGGAATGAACACGGGTCGGGTATCCTGATTTTTAGAGATATCCGGTCTCGTTTTCGTTTTCGTATGTTTTAAAAAACAATTATCTCGTTTTCATCTTCGCGAAGCCTTGGTACCGCGATTCGGGTACCCGTCACGAAACTCTAAAGCCCGAGGATATCCGAACCCGCTAAACTCTTTAAAAAACCTGTTAACTTTTGTTGACTTTAAGGTATTTAGGTAATTTTAGTTGATATTATATTTAAATATTATTGTAAATACATTAAAATACTAAGGATATAAATGTCATTACATTAATTTCCGGATACTCGTAGATAACCATCGCCATTTAGAAAACCTGAACCCGCGGTACTCATTTTCGGCTTCATCGCAACCGTCTTCGTCTTCGTTATTTAACGAGTTCTCCTGTTTCGAGTACCCGTGAGACTGGTATTACAAGAAAAACTGTATTTACCAACGGAAATTGCTACGGATATGTCCATCGCTTACAATATATGCGACGGACAACGACGGAATTGGGACGGAAGTAGTGGGAAATGAATCAGTCACAACCCGTCACACAGTCCGTCGGAATTTTCGACTAAGATCGACGAAAATTTCCGTCGGTAATTTTGTCAGACGGAGTGCGACGGACTGCGACTGATATTTGCGACCGAAATTTCGTCGGAACATTTTGCGATGGATTTGGACGGGAAAATTCACACATGATTTGCGACGGATGGTGACGCACTTTTCCATCGGTTATGCGACGGAATCGGTGCGTCGCAGGTAGTTAAACATGTGTTATTCGTTTTGACCTAATTCAGTCGCATTCCGTTGTTACTCCGTCGCAATATCTGCATGTCGTCGCTTTCCGTCGGTTTTTCGTCGCACGCTCGAACCCTATTTAACAGCCGCGTCG